CCTTGCTGTAGCCTTTCTGTAGCACACCTGTCTGTATAGTAAGGTGTGTCCCTCTACTAGTGAATGAGAGTAAAGTGGAGACAAATGTGTTTCCAGAAGAGTGGTGCTATGGACAGGTTGCAGACTGAGCAACTTCCGTTCTGCATGGTGTGATACTACACAGAAGGGAGTGGAAGGGTTTTACGACATCAGAAAAGCACAGAGCTACTTCAGGCTATAGGTTTTGCTGCGGTGACTTGAAGAGTCTGTGGCTTTGGTTCCCATGGTAAGTTTGATTAAAGGCAGATCGTGTGGGAGAACCCTATTCTGACAAGACTGGAATTCTTCTGGACTTGCATGGGGCTTTAAGCAATCTGCTTCTGAAGAGCAATTTTCATAGGAATAGCGAGAGATTCTCCGTGTGTGGTTTTGGTAGAAGCTATTAAAATGTGACCAGAGGAGTGCTCTGCTGAAGTAGGTGGGATGGTGACCCCAGTCTTAAGTTCTGCAGACGGATGGGTGTTTTGGTAGATGCCCGAGTGTGTGATCTCTGCTGTTTGCAGGCAGCACAGAGAAGAAAAGAAAAAGGAAGGTGGAAGAGGAAGATGATGATGATGACCATTTGGGTAAACAGCCTTGCAAGAAACTTACATCCAAAGAAGTAAGTGTCATTTCTTGTAGTAAAACAAATGAGCAGAGTAGCAGAGCTGACTTTTTTTGTACGTAGATTGCCCATCATCGCTGAAGGGCTTTGCGACTCGGCACTGGTAGGGGGGGAGAGCGCAGGGACTGTACGGGGGTAGGGGGAGGGTGAAGGCAGGGGGACTCGCTGCTGGTGCTGGGTGTGGCAGCAGCAGCACGTTCCAGCTGAGCAGGGACCCATGCAGGGGTCCAGCAGGTAACAAGAGCTTTGAAGGGAAGAATGCTTCGTGGGCAACTGTTCCGCTTTCAGCGTTAGCTTGCGCGCTGGTGCTTTAAGAGAGCAGGGGTCTAAGTGCTGGGAGATGGGAAACTTTGGAACTAGACAGGGCTGTATTTGAAAGAATGCAAACAAATTCAGGTAATGGATACTGTGGATTTGCTAATGGGTTTTGTGTGTATTTACAGAGAAGGCGAGCTGAGAGGCAGCAGCGCTCCAAGAAAGTTGGAGTCCGGTATTACGAAACTCACAACGTGAAAAATAAGAATAAGAACAAGAAAAAAACTGGCTTGGAGGAACAGAGATCAAAGCACAAAAAATACAAACATAAGCAATAACTACTGCTTATTCTATTAAATTTTACGTAAAAGATCTCTAGTATGCAGTGGCTTTTTTTAATATAAAACTTGTAGTTCCCATTCAAAGCCTGGTTCGCCTTGTCTGTCTTGTTCCCAGGAGTAGAATCTCGCTCTTTGTTTCTGCCTCGTCTGAAAGTTCTCCGTGCAGCTGGAGATCGTGGTATTTCCACATCGCCGTCTAAGGCCAGTAAACACGGTGGTGGCAAAACATATCCTGAAGTGTTACTCGGTGGTGGTTGGTGGTTTTTCTGGAAACGAGCTTGACGGAGTTTTTCGCATGACTGCAGTGAGTTACCTGTCCCGTCTCTGCTTGCTGTGTGTAACCAGCTAGTCACACAGGTACCTCAAGTCAAGATTCCATTTGCCTCCACTGAGAAGCGATGCGTGGAATGGAATCACACCCCTCTGCTTCATTAGAAATAACCATGTAGAGAGCTTTGGCGTTGCTCATCCAAGGTAGCTCCGAATGGTTCTGACAAGGGATACTGGTGTACAGTTAACACCAACCTGCACCTACTCCAGGAGGTCCCTCCAAACACCTCCCCAAGGACACCCGCAGTCTGATTCTTAGGGAATGTGACTTAGATTTATTGTAGACACTTCGTATGTTGTTTCTGAATTTGCTACAACATTTTCAAAATAATAACACAACAGAGATGCTTGCATATAAGAATGTTTATTAGTTCATTGCTTTGAAGGTCGTCTAGCGTGTTACCAACAGGGACAGCCCAGACAGGTTCGCTATGGAAGGAGCTGCATGCTGAGATAGCTTTGAACGAGGGTGCAGTAACTAATGAAGCCCTTGAATTTCAACTCTTAGAGAAAAAAAGAAAGAAAGAAAACTATTATGCTGCCCTCAGTTACTGGTAAGTGAAAACTCAGATTGTTTTATGAAGACAAATCTTTGTCACTAATTGCAAACTTCTTGCTCTGACAGCTCTTTTGAGCACTGCCTGGGGAACAGCAAAAAAATCTACTTATTTGGTCCAATGATGCTTTCAAGTTGGGCCTGAAAAACAAATGAGACAGTCAAATTAGATTCAACCTAAAAAATAAACTCACGTTGCTGAAAAGTGATAAATTGTCTGTCAGATATTCAAAGCGAGGAGCTGAGGGATGCTGCAATACTTCAAGAGAAGCAGGCCAGGTTTTTTTTCCCTAGCTATCCCATTCCTTACTACATGCTTTACAAATTAGCTTTTCATTCTTGGCTTACGCACTTGTTGCATTCTGAGAGAAGAAAAGAGCTGGCCTTGGTTCCATACAATGTAAGACTCGTTTTATAACGTAAAGCATTGAAGAGGAAATTAAATAAAAGCTGTTGAAACAGTGGTCTGAATTCTCTGATTTCAGGCTGGACTGCGTTAGCTAAATTAAATGCTTGGCTCTCTAGCATTTGGAACAGAAACTCTGACTCTGGGACAAAAGTAGCTGGGAACAGCAAGCTTTTCAGTTGCCGAGACAACTTGACGCCCAATTAGTAGCTTGATCAGAGAGCTACCCGTGCTTAGGGAGCACGTGGTGCCTGAAGCTTCCAGGACTCTGAGCCGTCCCCTTCCTAGAGCTGCCATCAACATAAACTACAACAGAGCTCTGTGTGCAGCGGTGTTGGATACTTCTGCTTCAAGGAAGAGACGTGGATTCAGGGGCAACGTGTATTTGATCTAACCGTTTCTCCATTGTGTGCCCTACCTATTTCAAGACAGCCTAAGCACGCTAGTGGCTTAGGAAGGAGAAACTGTAGGAACGGTGAAGATATGGACAGAATCTCAGTGTAAGGGGAATGGTTTTAGCTGCAAACATTTAACGTTGTTTATGGTAATATCTTTACTCAGAAGATCTGGGTTTTTTTTCCTTTCAAAAGCAAAGTAATGAGCAGAAGCTCTGTTTCCACCGAAGCAGCACGCACAAAATTACTCCTGTAATTACGCAGTCCCTACTGCACAAGTACACAATTGTTCTTATTAGGTAACATTTAATGTTAAATGGTGTGTCTTGTTGTCAGGGAGTAGACTTGATGGCCAGCAGCGAAGGATTTGCCTTCACTAGATTTTCTCTTCCGCAGCTGGGGAGGGGTGCTCACTCGCTGTTACAGCCCCACAACCAAGCAGGTTCCTGGGGCATCAGCCACGTTTGAAGCCTCTGCACTTGGGGTTCAGCTGTGTGCATCTCCAGCTGACTGAAACAATTTATCGCTTTCTGAACAAATTCTGATCTCTCCCTGGCAAGGGTGTGTATGACCAGAATGCAGTTAATCTGCCCTGCTGTTCGCTAGTAATGACCAGTTACTGACTGAGCAAGGAAGCAGAGAACGCAAAAGCACTGTTTTCCGATTTCATCGAGTATTTAAAGAAAGTGGAACACCAATACAAATTTTTTTTTATCTTTCTAAGTACCAAATGAGAAGTTTTACCATTCCTGTTTGGAATTGTGTTATTTTGCTAACCTTCAGCTGTTGATTTGTTCGTTTCAGGAACTGAACCTCCTCGGTGTGTTTCTTCTCTTCTATCTGACGCTTTTCACTTTCCCGTTTTTCAATAGCTTCACATTTCGCTTTCTGTTCACTCAGTTGTCTTTCCAGCTCCCGCTTTTCCTCTTCTAGCTCTGCAATCTTGGAAAAGAGTAGAGATTTCTGAAGTTTTGTTTGTTAGTAATCAATTTTCAGTTAAGATGGGACAAAGTTGTGTGTTGTACAGCCTTTAGAGTGTTCCAGATACAATAGCAGATTAGTTATGAAGTGCAATTAGCCCTAGGAAAACGAGACCCGTATTTTGATGATCTTCACTGCCATCCAGTGGAAATGGAAATAACTGATTTCATATAAAATGTTATGTGTAATATCCTTCTGCTGTATCACGTGTGGAAAACCACGTTACGGGGTTAACAGCCCGACTTACTCTTTTTTCCATGTCAGATTTGCCCTGCTCATCTTGTAGTGCTTTCCGCATGCCAAAGGCAACGCTGCTCTCGTACAACGTCTGATAAGTAGCGATCGTCATTTGGAGTTCATCCCTGACGCGCAGCAGCAACAGTCCTCGCTCGGCACAGTTAATTGTAGTTTCACGGATCAACTCATCTTTAAAGAAAGGGTACAACAGTCCAGTGAGAGGAACTGCTGCACGTTTCCCTAGGCGAGCTGGATACACACCGGGTGCAGAGCTTGTTGCTTTTACCTGTTCTCTGCACCACGAAAGCAACGCGTGCAGTGGCACAGAACCTACGCTACCATCGGCGACACTGGTCCCGTAAAGCCATGACACCGCAATGTGTGGCGGCTGTTGCAGTGACCAGGAAGCCTCCAGAAGAGTCCGGAGCCTCTGGCAGAGCCGTGCCCAAAGCGCCGGCAGCCGGG